GTTGTTAATTCCAGTTGCTAAGGGATAATAGGAGGGATCCTGAAACATTCCTGTTCTGTTTGTGTGCTTTTCAAATACATTTGGCTGTCCACTGTTGGAAACAGGATACTAGAATAGATGGACCCTTGGTGAGATCTAGTAGAGCTCCTTTTATGTCCTTATTTTGCAAATTTACACTAAGCCTCTCTGTCAGGCATGCAAGGCTAAATATTATTTTTCAATGAACATCTGAACGGAAGCAAAGCTGGCACATCTCCAGCTTATTGTGTAAAGTCTATGTTCTGTGTAACAGGGAATAAAGACTTTAAATATTTTCCTTGGCTAGCTTTGTGGTCTGATGTTTTATAAGGCACAGGTTAAAATACATCTTGAATGCCCTTAGTGGAACTTACTTCTCAGAGATATGCAATCATTTTCTTATTTTCTTTAGCAATTAAAGAAATTCAGGGCAAACTTTTTTTCCTCATAACTACTTTTTAGGTTTAGAGCATGGCTCAAATTTTTATGCTTTTAGTACAAAATCTAAAATTTTAGTAGATTAGGATGTTATGATTATGTCTGACTATGAATGTTTGCTTATTAATTATATAGCGGTCTGGTTCATTTTTTTAAAAGGCACCTCAACCCGTTTCCATTTTATCTTAGGGCCTCGGCAGACGGCTAATAGAGCCGTCTTCCGGGCCCAGAAGAGGAGGGGCAGCCGCACGAGCGGCGCCCCTTCCTCTTCCTGAGGTCACCCTCGGAGTCGCCGGCCGTTCGCACGGCCGGTGCTCCGGGAATGACCTCACGCCGCGGCGACTGCACGCGCCGCGGCGTTTGAGTCAGCGAAAGTGCACCCGCCGCTTTTAGGACGCACTTTCCCTGAAATCTAAAAGGAGCGCCAATTTGGAGCTCCTTTTAGATTCGCCGGAGGTGCGCCGCGGTGCGGAGGCTGAGCTCCGCCGGCGCTCCGACCCGCGGCACACGGGAAGCTCCCGTCTGCTTCCCCCCTTAGTTTCTTGGGAACTTGATTATTATTAAATATTTTATCAAGACTACACTCTTAGTAGGTGCAGTAACCCAACACATCCTCACTGAATCAGTTCACTTTCAGCACATACAATCCATTTCTTCCCACATCCTCACAAATGAATTTCTGTGCATATAGGGCAGAAGGGCTGCTTCTTTTTGCTGTCAGATGGTGACTGATTTCAAACCTGTGTGTACTTTTCTAATCATTCTGGAGTCTGCTGTTTATTTGAAGACAGAGAAAGGGATTCGTATTTACTGATGAATGAAGTGTTTCTAGTAGTGGTCTGTAGAATTTCTTGCCTCAGGTTTTCCATTTCCTTGCTTGCAGAAAATATTTTATGTATCCTGTATATTCCCTCTGATCTTCCACTGCATTTTTAAAACATTTATTTACTGATCTTTTCCTTTCACACAATTATATCCTACCTTTCCACCACTAAGACCATATGAAAAGAGTTTTCAAAAATGTTTGTCATATTAACTTAAACGGTAAGAGCAGCAAATTTTAGAACAAAAAATTCTGAACTCATAATTACTTAACTAATCTAAATGTAGAGAGATCTTGGAGCACCTTTGATATCCATCCAAGGAAGTAGACTTTAGTCTATGAAAGCTCATGCTGCCAACCTCATTCTTTCAGTCGTCTCAAAGGTGCTACAAGATCTTTCTACATAGCAATAGCAATAGCAGCTTCATTTATACACCACTTCATACCACACTAAGCAGTCTCTAAGTGGTTTACAACTGTAAGCTAATTGCCCCCATCAAGCTGGGTACTCATTTTAGTGACCTCAGAATGATGCTAAGCTGAGTTGATCCTGAGCCTTTGGCTGGGAATGAACTCGCTGTGGTTTGTAAGTGCATGGCTGCAGTACGGCATTTAACCACTGCACCACCAGGGCTCCTACATACTGATTAACTAACATGGCTATATCTTTGAATTTTACTATTAATCTAAAATTAATTTCAAGTAGCATTGAACTAGTTGAGATTATTCTTTTACAAAATTATATATATAATTTTAAATGCATTGACAAAGTTTCCACAGTGTACTTCTGTCTCTACTGTCTCTGTCTCTACTAGTGTGTACATGTGTCCAGCACCAGCAGAACTGAGACTTTCTTCCCTACTCCCTCTTACTGCATCCTTTTGTGGCACCCAAAGTCAGGTCCAGAGGCTTTCCCAGTCCTCCAGTATATGCTTTTAGTGTACAAAGAGTACTGCAACAAGGTGGGAGAGTACTGATTTTGACTTATTTCAGATGGGAAGCAAACATGAAACAAGGTTTATTTCAGTAATGACCATACTTAACATGGGGGTAGAATTCAGAGACAGGGGACAAGAAAGAAAGGCAAAGCAGATTGGAAGAGTAGCAGCTTTCTCCTTGCCACTCCACATGATGTTGTAGCACTTCTGTTCTTTTCCAGAGGGGAGACAATTATCAGAGTGTGCCTTTTGCCAAAATGGAATTATCTGTTAGGCAAATGCTCACTTTGATGAACATCTCACCTTTGGATGAGAATGGAAGTGCTAGAACAGCATGCAGAGTAATATGGAGAAAACTGCTCCTCTTCCAATCTGTTTTGCCTTTCTTTTCTCATGTGGTAAAGTCCATAGCCATGTTAGGAAGGAATATCAGTATGCAAAGGGATGTTGTAGAACCTTGCAGACTGTGGGGGGATGCAGACGGCAAGAAACGCCATTCTCAATCCCAGGAAGAGGAGGAGCAGCCGGATGCTGGGTGCCCCATCCCCTTCCTGAGGATGTAATTGGAACG